GTTTTGTTGGATTTTTTGTTTGTTTATAAAACTAGAAAAAGTTTAAACAAAGCCTCTGTATTCTTGTAAAGCTTTTTTTCTCCTTTTTCCTGCTTCTTAGGTACTGCAAAACTGACCTTACGTCTGTTTGGTGAGTTCCTACTGCTCCAAACAGAAAGGGCAGCAGTTTGAAAGGTCTGGCGTTCATATAGCTGTGATTTTGGTGATGGGGACAACTGTTTTTGTTCTGAAAGTGCATGTTTTCTTTGGGCCTTTCTTAGGAAAGGGACCTGGTCATCCTTATTTATATCCCCCCATCTGCACAAAGCTATCAGGTAACTGCATGAGGCTTTAGAACCCCAGTGAGTTTTACATGACAGACACAGGATGCCTGCTCTTCTGTATAGCCATCATCTTCTTTCAAATCTTTTCAACTTTGCATGGCAGGAGGAATCACCAGATTTGTAATGTTCAAGCGTAGCAGTCTGGTAACACTGTTATGATTTCTTTTCCTCTGCTGAAACCCAGTGCTGTGCCTGTCCTGGCTGCTTCCTCCCACTCCCCTGATGCCGGCTGGGCTTCTTTGCGTCACACACTGTTCTCTGGGACCCTCCCTGAGTAATAAATAGGCTCAGGGTAACAGTGAGGCTTCTGTCCCCATGTAAGTGCAAGCCTATAAGCTTCCTTTAAACTTTAAACGTTTCATTGTTGGAAAGCTTTCAGATGTTCACAGGATAAGGGGTCTTTATATATAGCTGGCATTGCGTGGTAAAAGATTGCTTTATGTAAGCTAAGTTTAAGATGTGCAGTTCCTTTATAAACTCAGCATGCAGGAGATATTTTTTCCTTCTTGTGCTCAACGTTGCTTTCAGAGGGTTTTTAAATGGCTATTCATTTTTTTATATTTATAAGATAAAAAAAGTTTAAGGGAGAATATCAGGAAAATGCACCTCAGATAAAACCAAGCATGCATGATTCCGAGCATTTGTTCAGATGTGTCAGCAACCTCCTGCAGAGCTGAGTCCTCATCCTGCCCGATTAGGGGCACTCCAGGCTTTGCTACAATAGGGCCAGAGGAACTCACTGACTGGAATGATTCATGACCCAAAACCTACTTCGTGCGGTGTGTAGCATAATAAACACAAACTACATTAGAACAAATGAAGAGTATTGCTTGGTGCAGTAACCAAGTATTGCTTGGTGCAGTAACCAACATTTTCTTTACAAAGTGTATCCAGCTCTTTTATGGGTTACACAGCCTGATCCAACCATGTCCAATTGTAAACTGCTCTCCAGTGTGAAATCTTATGTCATCTTACCAATTGTTACCAAGTAAAATAGCCCAGCAACTAGAGATGTGTGGTTCTACTTGAGGTTTGAAAAGGCAGGAACAAAGGCATGTTACTAGTAAAAAACAGTCAGATGCTTATTATCTAGATTTCATTTTGTCTCTGAGTATCCCCAACAGAATTGCATCTTCTAGAATCCGTTTGAAAAACACTTAAGACTATTTATGATTTCAGCCAGTTGCTTCCTCCAGCTGGGTCAAGCTTGCGTGCAAGCTGTAACACCTCCAGTATGTACCAGACCAGAATCCTCCTGACTGTGCACTAAATCATGGCTTTATCTGTTTTATTTGACACTAAATTATTTTTGCTTTAATGGAAAGCAGGTTTCTTTTTTTTGGGCTCGTCTGAATTGTTCACCACAAACTTAATCCAAAGATCCTGGAAGTTGGTGGGTGTTAATAGAGTTTGGCATGTAAGCTTGGATTAAAAAAGTCATTACTGTGTCTACTGTCAGTGATTTCTCATTTGCCAGTAAGACTTAACTTTGATCCCAGTCTGAACTGACAATAACAAATTTGGAAACGGATGAGGATAAACAGAAGTTGGCTCTAAAGCAGGCAAGGTGAGGAAACCAAGTCTGCTGGTGACGTGATTCTCCTTACCACAATGTATTTCACAAAAGACTTTTCTCTGTACAAAAAAGCAACTTTTACACAAAACTGAATAAAAGCAACACTAGTATGTGTGCAACACTGAGGGAGGTGGGGCATGGGTTGTTTTTTATTTTCAATAAAAAAATTCCAATTTGTTGAAGCTGGTGCTGCTTACAGGAAATGGCTGTTCTTGGCAGACAGTAAGTGCAATCATCTCCCAAGACTGTTTTTTGTGGTGGTTGTTTGTTGTTGGGTTTTTTTTTTAGATGTTTCAAATAAAGTCTCTTCTTTGAGATTCAGAGCAATTTCTCACATCAATTGGTTTCCAAGTATTTTATGCCGTGCTGTTTAGGAGAAGATGCTTGGGCAGCTTTCATTTGAACAGCATCCTGCCTTGGCAGTGACGTAGGAGTCATAGCTTGGAGTGATCCTGTTGTAAGCATTTTGGGCTGGGATGGATAGCAAGCTGCAGCAACTTGCATATTGCTTAAATCTAATACTATTCCATTCACTGTGCTTTAAAACAGTCTCATTTCGGTTTTGCTTTTAGATGACAAGTGGAAGGGGAGTTCAATTGTGAGTTTCATCAGAAAAGATTTTCATCCTCAACACTTTTCCTTCATCATTTCTTCTTCCTTCCCCACTCTTCCACTGGGTGTGGTAACAAACCTAAACTTTTACTATATTCCATTCAGTTGGTGCCAGCAGCTTTTTGAATATTAGGTTATACCTCTGTACCCCCTAGCCAACCCTTCATAGTGAAGCAAATCAATGCATTTTATGGTAAATGCTTTCCGTTATAAGAACTGTTTGCAAAAATGGCCTTTTCCAGGAGATGTGTACTGTTCAATGAACAGTCACAGGGTTACTTCCAGGTTTTCTTTTTTCCCAAGCAGAGCGGAGAGAAGCTCTCTTCCATTAGTAATTCTGATCAGGCAAAGCTTTCGTTGCCTCTTTTATTTATTGTACTAATTAAAAAAAAGAAAAGAAAAGAAGAGAAAAAGCAAAATTAGTGCATCTCAAAGCCTGTATTCATTTATTTGCACCTTACGATTATATATATTACATATTATATAATTATATTGTATATATTATTATATTATATTATGCTGTATTGTCCAAAGCCAGTAAAGTCAGTCTCACTTTTCTGAGAAGTGATTGTCAAATTTTGGAGATAAGTGATATTATTCAAAGACCTCAAGAAAGAGAACTATTCCTTCTACATAGGCAGAAGGAAAATTTTCTCCGTGGGGAATTATCAAACCAGTCTCTTGGTGCAGAAGGAAATAATGAGCTAATCTGAAGCTGAGGTGCTATCGGTCTGTTTCAAACCCAGCTTGTCTCCTGTTTCCAACTTTTCTGCATGCAGATGCTGTCCAATTAGTTGGAAGGCAGAAGTAGTCTCTTGACTTGATTTTTGCTTTCTAGGCCAAATGCCTGGAAGCTAGGGAGGGAAATGGATGGCACTGGAATAATAACCACCTTCCCCAAGTCTGAGCAAAGCAGTTAAGACCCATCTTTTTTTCAGTGTTTTCATGTATTCTGCCAAGCTGTACAATAGCTCTTGGGGGAGGAGGAGTTGTGTTTTTTCCTTTATTCCTTGGTTTATCCAAGCTATTTGGTTTACATTTCTTTTTTTCAATCACTAAACTAAGAAAGCATGCAAGGAAGATGATGTTTTGTTTTGCACTTGTGTGATTAAAAATGTCTACTCCTACAGTCTTGCACAAAAGCCTCTTCTGAAGTTTCTACATTCTTTTATTCCTTTCTTTCCCCACCCTGAACTCTCCACCCAAAATGACATTTCAGCCTTACGAAATTGGAGGTCTGCTTTCTAACCGAGATTTAGAACAGTGTAGCCCAGTTGCCATAATTTAAATAAGACTTCTTGGGTTGTTCCTGAAGCATGACTTTATTTTCCTAGCTGCTTTTCATGCAACAAGGACCAGTAAAAGCAGTGTAAACTGAAGAGCCTCGCCTCTTCATTTCCTGCACAATGCTTACAGCATCCTTCAGGAAAGGCACTTCTGCAAAGATCTGCTGCTGCTGCAGCTGAGGCAGGTTTTCTCCATCAATAATGCAAGCCCCTAAGTCATCTGTGTATAGTTGTAAAGTTACTCATTCAGCGTTAATTTTACAGATGCCTCTCTCGTGGAAAATTCAGCTCTGTACTTGGGAGGGAATGGGAGTGTTTCTGAAAGCAGTTCAAGTTCAGTCTGACCTCACCAGTTTGGACATACACTGAAATGTGTGACCTTCTCCATTTGCTGCACGGTTATCATTCCCAGAGCTGAATACCAGCAAAATCACTGCTCCTCCATCTTCTAGGGACTTGCAAAATAAATGTTTTAACATCATTTTCAGGCTGTGCTCCGTGAGCTGTTCTTTCAAAGATTTTGCCTCAAGGAAAAATAAGGAGTAGCTGTCATTTGAAATTTACTCAGCGTTAGCTAAATGATGGCATTTGTCACTTCTGCTCTCCTTGTAATGAATAACAAGGAGGACTGGCCCTCACATGTGTCAAACTGGATACTGCGTTTTGTTAGTTCTTCTCCCTCTGTTGTTCTCTTAGAGAACAGGAGGCAATTAATATAGTCAAAAATGTAATGTGGCACAACCCCATCCCCCTTTTTTTTCCTTTGCGTAGTATTCCAACACAAAAACTGTCGAGAGCATTATGTGCATCACATTTTGAAAACATGTTGGTAAGGCAAACTCACTAGGAGACTGCAGGTTGGCCAATTCTTTGGGACCTGATCTAAAATAATTGGCATGTTTGCTTTACGCTGCAGCTTGTTTGATGTTGTTGACCTTGTATCCTTGGTGTCTGAAAAGCTGTCATGGCAGTGACATGTGTCTGAGCAGTCTGAAGGAATCCAGCAATTATTTTAATATTTTGCATAATACTGGTGGAATGTAACAATTCGTTGTGAGGGATCAAATCCAATTACCTCATTCCCTAAAACTGGAAAAAAGGTGGAAGTTTGGTGATAAATGCTAGCAGAGTGAGAAAGAAGTGTAACAATTTGTGACATTCTAGTCGCTAATTTTTTTCTTTCCCTTTCTCATTTTTTTGCAGGGCATGTTTTCGAGCCATTTTTGAGGAGATGTGGTGAATGTAAACTTGCTCTCTTGGGAGCGAAATTCTGGTAAGTGCTGCAGTCTTGATGAGTTTTGGCTTTCAATGAAAGTTTCAGAAATATTATGTTAGCTTTTATTTTAGTTTAATTTTTTTTACTCGATGGGAAATGCAGCTCACAAAGCTGCAGTTGATTACATGTATTTTTTTTCCTTTGGTATGGAGACACACAGTATGAGAAGCACTGACAGAAAGCAGCATGCTGGGCCTCAAGGCAAGGAATGCAGTTTCATTTGCTCCTGTGGCATCTGCTTATTGTGTTTGTAGCTGTTACATTCAGCTGAGGAGTGGCTGAAAACTAGTAGAAGAAACACAAAGCCTAATTGTAAAACAAGGGGAACAAAAAGCATGCTAGAGGTAAGAAACATGAGCAGCAACAGTGATGCAGAGGGAGCACTGGGGATGTCTAGTCAGTGTGAAATCTTTCCATCCAATCCCACAGACTCCACATGGAGCTAGAAGGATTTGCTCATTACTGTGACATAAGGAGGTAGTCAATACTCCTGTGTGATGCACCAGGTTTCCCATTCCTCCTTTCCATTTCTTGTGACAGGCTTTGCTGCTTCTGATTGTTCCACGCACACTTCTAGAGACAACGGCTTCCTACAGGTTGATGTGGGCTGCAGTGGGAGTGTGGCATGTTGTATACAGCATAGCTGTGTTCCTGAGTTATGCCACTGTGAGAAGAAGGGAGGCATCAAAGAGTGGAAGATAATTAGTGACATGCCCCAACTGGAGGGGAGTAATCCTGAGAAAACTCTTTGTAGCTTTCTCTTTCTCTATCCAGTCAAACATAAAAAAATAATAATAATCCCAGCAACAAGCAAAAACAAAACAAAACAAAGCAGCAGATCCCCAGTGGTTTGTAGACTTACCTTGCTTTTCCCTCTCAGAGACTCAGTGTATGCAACTGTTGCTGGTACCTGTTGATCACTGGCAGCCTTGGAAAAAAATTGCCAGCAGAAGGTTGTGTCCCTTTTTTCCCTTGGCCAAGAAGAGTGTTGTACTAGAATTTTTTTTTAGCCAATGTGTGCAGATTGCAGATGAAAACCAGCTTATTCTCCATTGGCAAAGGACTTCAGAGTAAGATAGCCTGCAGGGGTAGAAAACCCAAAATCAAAGACTGGCTCTATGAGAACACTTGTTCCTTTCTTCCATTTAAAAAAGAAATAACAGATGTTGTTACATCATACAGAAGAATCTGGATTAACTAGCAGATGTTTAAATGTAGATCATTTAGCCTTCTGCAGAAAGTATAGTCTTCAAGTGAAGAAAAAATGAAATGATTAAGATCAAAATTTAAAAAAAAAATCTTCCAAATGCTTGAAAAGTCCTCTACAGCTATACCTGAGCAAACCATGCTTCCATTCTTTTAAGTAATTTTCTCTCTACTTGTATGCCCAAAGATGAGCTATAGACCAGTTGCGTGAACTCACATCACATGAGATTTTGTGCTTCTTCTGTTGCTGCAAGAGAAGATCTGTATCTAGTTTGCTTTTTGATGATAGCTACTGTAAGTTGTCTGATGTCCTTGCATATTGGGTGATCTTTGTGTGACATGTGACAAAGCTGTTGTGCTCATAGATCAATGAGCAGCATCGTAATGCAAAAATAGCATTGCTGTGTAACACAAAGGAAAATAAGGTTGTGGGCAGACATGGTAGTGAGATTGTTATGTTTAAATTTCCCTTCAAAATTGCATCAGTGATCTAGGCCCAGTGAAATAACATAGTTCAAGAGCAGCAAGAGGAAAGAGATTAAGAAACGCATTCATTGGAACGAGAACAATTTTGGTTGGAAGAAACTGCTGTGTGCCATCTTGCCCCCTTGAAGCAGATCCTATTAGATCAAGTTGGTCAGGGCCTTGATTTTCAACATTCAGGTGGGCTCAAGGATGGAGGCCTCTCTGGGCACCTGTTCCTGTGTCTGACAGTCCTCAGAGTGAAAATGTACTTCCTTGTTGCTTCTTCTCATTGTTATCACTCTCTGTTGATCAATGTGTAGCTTGCATCTTCTCTGCCTGTGAGAGAGGAGTTTTGCTGAAGGATCTTCCAGCCCCAGATCAGGGAAGCTGCATCCTGTGGCTCCAAAGAAATAAGGTGTCACATGGATGCAGTAGACTTGTTAGTGGGGGTAAAAATGCAGTCTGGTTCATTGAGGATCTACTTGCACAATGTTGTTCAACCTTTAGTTCATGGTCAGACTTGGGGAGCGTGGATGCTGACTTCTCTGAATCTCAAAACCAAGGAAAGTGGTACTCCTGAAAACTTCTTAACTTCTTGTTCAGAGGTAGAACCCAATAAAAAGACACTGTTCTCACTGCTGGTTTGTATACATTCTAGAATTTCTTTGAGCCAGTTTGGAGCTCACTTTGTGGCACTTCATGCTCCAGGATTTTGCACAATAATTTAATATTGTTTTCCTGGAGCCATTATAATATATAAACAGACTCTGCAAACTTTGCTTGTTTTCACAGCTGTTCCTTCCCCTCTTCCCACTTCAAATTGTTTGCAAAATCTCATTTTGAGGAAGAATAATCAGGTATCAGTTTCTGGTCTGTAAGGATCTCTGAAACATCTCTGTCCCCACTGTTAGTTTGCCTATGGCAAGGAAAGAGTTTTGTCTGGTCTCTGTCCATAACCCACTAAATCCAGGAAGGTCTGGACACTAAGAGAACACTTTGAATTTATCCTGACATAGTAGCTAAGCTCAGAGGCACAGAGGTCACTCACTCATCTTGGATCAAAGTCCTAGAAAGGGTCATACAGCCTCCAGCTCAGAACTTCATAATGGATTTAGGAGCTGATCAGAGAAGTACACGAGTGCTTTGAGGGAAATCTTGATTAATTTAAAACTCACTCAGCTAAGCTGATGGTATCTTCCTGAGCAGTGTGAGCAGAGACCTCTTTTGATGAGATTTCTGTAAAGCAGCCTTGTGGATGTCTGAGCAAATGCTGCTTGGCACTTAGGTGTTTGACCCATGTGGTATTGAACATGATCTTTGGTGGGAGGTCACTGAATGGCCTTCTCTCCATAATATAAAACACTGACACAACTGCAAGGAGTCCCAAGAAGCACAACTGAAGTACAAAAGAAAACTTTGGAGTGATCTGTGTTTTAGTTTTTTCCCTTATTCTTTGCAAGTCTGAATGCCCTTTGAAACTCAGGCTTTTAGTAAGATTTTCTTGCATGTCTGAGCATGGCTTATTCTGTACCATGTGGTGTTTTGTCCCTGTTCATCTAGGTTCTGTGGTTGGTTATATCATTTAAAAATCTGGATTTTAGTTGCTAAGATCTCCTCTAGTGCTTTGGGTTGCCTTTTTTTTTTTTTTTGCCCATTAAGGACAATCAGATTCCTCTTAGCAGATAGTGCTTGCTTTGATTTTTAGAAATAATATTAAAACAAATTCTCAGTAACTTGTTGCATACTAAGTTTGATTACCTTTAGAAAAGAAATGTTGTGTTCCTCTGTAGGTTCCTGCGTCTCTGATCTCCATGGCATGATTATTGACATCTGTGGTCAAATGTCAAAACTGACATTTTGACTACCAAAAAGAGTACAGAATTTCTCATGGTGATTTTTCTTCCTTGTCAGGCTTCTGACATAAAGTATTATAGATCGACTATGAGTTATTTGCTGAGAGCTTGGAATATGCACTTTGTGCAAAAACAAGCCGCCATAACTTTTTTACCTGACTTCTGCCACAGCCACAAGAGGCCAGAATCATTAGCTGTTCTTTGTTATTATGGATGACCTGGCATGTTTTGGTACTATTTCCAGTACCTTTTAGTTTTCCAGAGTCATTAATTTGGGCGCTGATGCACCTCTTGATGTGCTTCTGTTGTGAAATTTCATTATTTCTTCCTGTGGGCTGAAGATTATTATGCATCCTTAGGAAGGAAAGTGTGTGGAAACTCTTGAGCATTAAATTATGTTGGATTTTACTACAATTTGCAATGCTATGCTTGTAATTCCTTCAATTTTAGCCTGTTTCTTATCTTCCAGTCAACCCCATCTGAAAGATGTGCATGTTAGTGCTGGCTGTGCACTGCACCTCTCCAGACTGAATTGGGTTGGATTTAGCCTGCTATCGTAATATAGGGAAGTGTTGTCATACTTACGTGCAAGATAACTTCACTCAGGGAAGCTGCAGCTCAGCCTTTGGCAGCAGAGAACTTTGTGTCTCAGCCTCTCTCATGCGTTCTCCTAAGTGTTTTCCAAAGCTCACTCTCAAGTCTCATGCAGTCACAGAATCATTAAGATTGGAAAAGACCTCTGAGGTCACCTACTCCTACTGTCAAGTCATCCCCATCATGCCAACTAACCACGTCCCTCAGTGTCACATCTCCACATTTCTTGAACACCTCCAGGGATGGTGACTCCACCACCTCTCTGGGCAGCCTGTGCCACTGCCCCACCACTCTTTCTGAGAAGAAACTGTTCCTAACATTCAATGTGAACCTCCCCCAGTGTAACTTAAGGCCATTCCCTCACATCCTTCAGTTTAGCTGTTGGGTTTTGTTTTGGGCTGAACTTGAGACAGTCCAAATAGGATTGATCTGTGGGCCACTTGTCTGGACGATCCTTCTGCCTTATCCACTGGATAAGAGATAAGGAAGGACTGGTTGGAAAGCAATTGGAGTAGAGTGCTACATTCTGCTGCACTTCCTGGCTTTCTGAGCTGGCTGAGTGACAGAAATCTTTGAATCATAATGTTACAGTATCTTGAAGATTCATGATGGAATTTTGCAAGTGATAAACTGTTTTGTTTGCTTTTTTAAAATTCAAGATAACAAACTCTCCAAATGCTCTGCTGAAAGAAGAGCATTAAATTTGCAAGTTCACATGTTTGCTTTAGGGAATGTTGCATCAACTTTGCTCTTTTCAGTGCGTGCTTCAGGGTATTTTTGTCACTGTTCACTTGATACAAAAACTCCTGTTCCATCACATTTGCCTGTCCTTATACTTTCTGTTCCCCACCCTGTGGAAAACCAAATAGAATGGCTATG